GCCGGACGCGCTCGCCATGCCGGGGCCCGCCGGCGGCGTCCACGGCGCCAACGCCGGAGCGCCTGCCGCGCCGTCGCCAGTGGCTGCCGCGGCTACGGCCGCGCCGGTGCCAGCGCCGCCATCCCCAGAGGCCAGGCCGGGCGCGTTGGCCCCCAGGCTCTCCTGGCGTGCCTGCTGCATGGCGGTGAGCACCGCCGCCGCCGGCTCCTTGCGCGCGGCGGAGCGCTTCTTCAGCTTGCCCCCCAGGATCTTCAGCCGCGCCAGCTCAGCGATATCCTGGGCGGGTTGGAAAGGGCGATCGAGCAATTTGGATAACGGCTTCGGCGGCTAGCCGGCTGGATGGCTCAAACGCGGCTCGGCGAGGCACAGTCATCAGTGAACTCAACCGGCAAAGCCAGCTGAGGTGGCGATCGCAGGAGGGCGCCAGCAGCTGCAGATACTCAACAATCCAGCTCCACATGCTGCCGCTGGGGCCAAGCCGACCCTACTTGCAGCCCCAGGAGTCAGCCTCAGACAAGCCCCGGTACCTCCTCCCTCCTTGGCCCTAGCCTCGGCCACCTCCGCCCCGCGACCCACCCGCTGCCGTTGCTCGCTGAAGCCCATCGCCTCCATCCGCTCCACGATGCGTGCCAGCTTCTCCTCAACTTCCGCCGCATTACTGTGGACGTCAAAGTTGCGCGCGCGGTCCGCGCCGCCCGGGGGGGCGGCCGGCCAGCCCCCGGGCACCAGGCCCGCGCCAGGAGGCAGCAACGCCGAGTCGTCGCCCTGCCAGCGCTGCTGCTGCTGCTGGCCCGCCACGGCTGAGGCCGCAGCTGCGGCAAAGGGATCGCCGCCGCCGCTGAAGTTGCGGGCCAGCATCACGCGGTTCGCTTCTTGTCGCGTGCAGTGGCCGGCGACTTCCCCCTCAAGGATGGCCGTCAAGCCGCCTGCTGGCTGCTGCTGCTGCTGCTGCTGTTGCTGCTGCTGCTGTTGCTGCGCCTGCTGCTGCTGCGCCTGTGGTGGCTGCGCCTGCGGTGGCTGCGCCTGCGGCGCTGCCTGCGGCGCCGGGCCGCCAAGCACCGCCACGGGCATCGGCAGGCGGG